TGACGACTCTACATGTTTCGACGTTACAACGTCAACCTCAGTTGTAACGTCGAAACATGTAGAGTCGTCAGCTTTTTGAAGGCCATAGATAGGCCTAAATAAAATGTTTTTAATTGTGTACCAGTTTAACGTTGAATATTATTTGTGATTTTAACTTTATATACAAGTTCCAAAATACTATAATTATGAGGTAATTGATCAAGACGAGAAAAAATTAATTTGTATCATTTATAAGCCTCCCGCTGACTCAGCGGTAAGTCTCGTAATTTATAACGTTAAAAATTGGAGTTCGATACCCTATTGTGTAGCTTTCTGCCTAACAACAAACAAACAGAAAATTACTTATAAATTCCAATTTGTACTAATGTCACAATCAGCTCAAATATTCAGATGATGCTTTAATTTTTGGTATGGTGAGTCAAAAATTGAGTGTTACAAATAGAAGGATAATATGCTTGTTACTTTATCAGGGCTGATCGTGCTAATATATAATTTTAATATTTGAATATGCATGTCAATAAAAGAACATCAAACTATATTTAAAAGCTAGAAATCTGAGTTCGATCCCCTCTGCGGGCACATCGCAGATATCCTATTATATAGCCTTGTGGTAAGACAAAGGAAGTCAGACATTTTACTTAAAACTGCCATTGAGAAGTATGATCAACATAATAGGTAACACATTAAAATTATTTATCTGTAGATGATTCTCATCTACAAAGATAATAGCATAGAATACTATTTGTTTACACTTTTATGTTACCGACGTTAAAGTATATTTAATTTGATGAGGGTTAAAATATTTATCCTGCTGTTATTCACTAAGAAGAATTCCATGTGTTACAATGTTCCAATAATTCTACTTTGTTATATGTTCCAAGAATTCCGTGTATTACAATGGCATTTGCTTTGAAAACAAGAATGTGACATAGTTCAATGGATCCTCGCAATGTCTTGTACAGTGACAAGAGTTACATTCATATCGTCAGTCTTGTAAAATTGAGAGAGAGAGAGGGTTTGTTGGTTTGTTTGTTTGTAATTAAGCACAAAGCTATACAATGGGAGGTCTGTGCTCTGCCCACCACGGGTATCGAAACCCGGATTCTAGCGTTGTAAGTTCGCAGACATGCCGCTGTGCCACTAGGAGGCAGGGGGAGAAGGAAATAAATAAAAGCAATGTCACTTTGCGAGAAAAACAATTTCGGTATGCAGTAAAACAAGGTTTAGAAACACCGTATATCCCGTGAAACTATTAACAATATGTCTCTTGTGAACTTTTGTTACCCCTTCGAGAAGAAATTTTGAAGATATAATCAATTTAAATACGGGGTTTTCTTTACAACTACATTATAAACTTGTATCCAAAAAAATTATATTTATTGAATTTCAGTGATTTCTTTGTTGTTATGTAATATCTTTCATTTGAATTATCTTAAAATTATTTTTAATATCCTTGGTTGACTAATTAATTTCTATGTTCCATAGAATATGAAATGCATGCCTTCGTTCCGTTATTTAGCTAACAACCATTGAAGTCCTTGTTGATACTTGTGATCAATAAGAACATATTTCTTTGTTACAGGATATGTTATTTACGACGAGGACAAAAGACAAGACCTGATCCCCATATTGCGTCTGGGTAGAAGTTACTCGACACCTGTTGATAAATGGAATTTTTTCCCTCGGATCGGACGATCTCCGGTTTTAAGTCTCCTGCCATTTCCCTATACCCCAGAATATTATAGTTTCAAAAATTATGAGAATGCCGACGACTTCAAACGCTCCCTGCCCAGTTTTACCCCTAGAATCGGTCGGAAAAAGCGCTCTATCCTCAACGAAGATAGCGATGACCAACAAGAATGGCTTGACCTTAGCGATTATGATAACCTGGGTCGAGGTGATGTCCAGTTGCGATCAGTTTTCGTCCCACGTATTGGACGCTCGCCAGCAACTGAAGAAATAAAGGATGACACTAAACGAGTAGCTTTCACTCCTCGTATAGGCCGGGCGCCATTCATTCCGAGAATTGGACGAGCAGATCCGGAAATATACAGGTCTTCCCGAACAGCTTTCACTCCTCGTATAGGTCGAGCTCCATTTATCCCAAGAATTGGCAGGTCCAGTAACTCCGCTGATAAGGAGACTGAGGACTGAAGCCGATATCTAATACCTGAATCATTGTTTTAAGGGTTTGTTTGTTTTTTCAACAGCAGTGATGTCAGTAGAGAATATCGCACTAAAAGTAATAAATGAAATGTATGACATTTCACAAAAATCAAGAATAAAACAACTTGTTAAGCACATATGTCTTTTTTATTTCACTACACAATTTTGGTCTAAAATCTAGTTACAAGACATCCTTGATGAGGTAAGGGTTTTGTATCTTTGTTTATAGATAACATTTTAGCCTAGTTCATTAATTCTTGTGCTTTTAGTTTTCAAATTTTAAGCATTC